GTTGGCCTCAGCTTCCTGTGCACGGCCACTGGTCTGAGAGCTGTGGGGTGTTACGGGCATGTTGTTTTCCAAGGAAAGCGAGAAAAGAAAGCGCAGCGCGGAGGTGGAGAAAGCGTCAGCCGACCCGAGCTCGTGTGTCGTACAAGAGCCTCCTGCGGCAGCAAAGAAAGCCAGAAAGAAGGAGCTTTCAAAGGCAGAGAAGAACTTGGCCAACAGGTGAGTAGATAGTACGTTTTTATAGTCGGATTAAAACCCAACGTCTAGATTAATCATAAGATCAGGAGTTCACTGGAAGTAAAATTCTGTTCTAGTGCTTGTGTTGAACCCTGTGTTTAAGAAGGTTATTTTTAAGAAGGTTGTGAAAGTTCTCTGTAGTTTTCCCCAGAAAGGCAGTAAATCCTTCCAACTGCTTGAAGTCCGAGGGCTGCGAAGTGCAAATCCCCCCTAGAGACCAGGGGGCTGTTAAGTGTGGGCAGAAAGTTCTCTCTGGCACGGGGCGATGCTTTACGCCTGTAGTTGGCTTTATCCAGCAGTCAGAGGAGCAATGGGAGCAGAGGAGCAGCAGGAAGGTACCAGCGGGAATTGGTTGTCCTCGTCACGCGTGCCCTCTGCTGTGACAGAGACGCACTCTGTTACACTGTCCCTTCCCTTAAACACTCGGGGTTGCACCCAGACGCTGTTGGTGCGGGCGGGAAGCTGGTCTCTGTACGGCAAAGTTTGGGTTATGAAGCTCGCCTGCCTGTAACTGGAGGCCAACACCTTGTCCTGTCTCTGGCACTCTGTGTTGTTGCACCTCCCCTGCTCCGTGAAACTTGATTGCTGTGTTGGTGCCTGTAGCTTTCCAGAGGCAGCTTTACATCTGCTTATAGCTCCTGCTGTTATGGAGAGTTTGGAGAGGTGGAGATTTGTTACTGTACGGATGGATCCCAAAGGCTTGGTTGTTGTGAGTGTCCTGGATACTGGGAAGAAGTAAATCTCTCCCTAGTTCTAGGGTGCAAAGGCGATTTTTTTAATCCCCCTTCAGTTTCAGAGGATGTCCAAGTGTTTAGTTCTGAGTTGTGTCTTTATTACTCCTACTGCATAGTGAATGCAATGTCGTGGGGCACAGCCAATGGTTCTCTGTGCTGCAGGATGGTCAGCTACCTTTGTGTAATGCATAACAAGCAAAATCATATTTGAAACTTTATGTTGAATATAACAATTTAAAATGTGACTTAAAATGTTTATCGTGGAGGCTACGAGTCTTTGCCCTCAAAACCTCTTGTTCATTTCCCATCAATGACAACTGTCTTGTCTTGTTCTGGTAAGAGAGAGCGCTTTGGAGCGGGCGGATGAAGAGGAGGAGCAAAAGCTGGTTCAAAACAAAGTGAGACCAAAGAAAGGGGCCCCTCGTGCCGTCACCAAAGGTGTCGTTAGTTCAGCTGCAGGCACTGCTGTCAAGGAGCAGGAGGAAAAAGTGGCTGAAGCAAGAGTGAACAGAAGAACCGTGTTTGTTGGAAACCTGCCCGTCGGCTGCAAAGCGCAGGTGTGTGACTGGCTTCTGCCCGCTCAGGGAACGAGGAGAGTTCCAACAGTCCCGAATTGGAGGGGGTGTTCCCAGCTGAGAAGTCACACGTGTTTGGGACTGAAATAGCTTTTGGGGAAAGGAGGAAATAATGCTCGTTATCTGAAAGCGTTAGAGGCAGCAATCCCTTTGTTTGAATGCTTTTTAGGCTTTTTAAGGCTTCGTTTGTTTCTCAGTGCGAAATGTCTCCGTAGCTGAGAACTACAGTTACAAAGCCAGAGACTGCTGCTGACTTGGAATGCAAACAGTACTTCAGGTTGTTGCATGACATAGTTGGATTTAGACTTTCTTCCTAGGAAGGGGTACGAAGTCAGGTGTGGCAATCTGTGGGATAAGCAGCTGCCACAAGAAACACAGAAACAGTTACAAATTACTTGTCTATTTGTAGTAGCCCTTCAACGGACCTGGTATGAGTTAATTGAAAATATTTTAGCGGTTTTGCTAATAAATATGCAACAATAACTCTTGTTTCTCGGATGCAAAAATGTACTGAATATTTGTACTGTCTTTTGTTTAGACGCTGAAATCTCTTTTTAAAGAGTACGGACAAATAAAATCCATTCGATTCCGGTCTCTGGTAGGTTATTTCCTCTAATGTTATGTAAGAAAATGACGTTTCTGTTGTTGGATAAGGTAGTATTTGTGAGGCTAGTATCTTCAGTAGTTCAGAAGCAGGTTTGGGGGTGTATTTTTACACCTCATTAGGAGGAGCCCTGGAGGTTTTTCCGCAGAGGCACCACAGGTGCATCTTTCCATTCATCCCATTTTACTCTTCCTGTAACAGCAGTTGGTGCTCTCAGAGCTGTATTTTCTCTGTAAAAAGAATGCCTGTATTATTGCCCCTTTAGCAAAAGTGGTTTTAAGTCATAGTAGCAGAGACACGTTGATCATAAATCAATGTGCTGTGTAAAATACTTGAAGATAAGAGTCTGGGAACGCAAGAAATTGATGAAGTCAAAGCCAGCTGTTGAATTCTGTGGTCTTCCTAGATCATGTCTAGGAATGGCCACTCAGTGTCATTTGCTCACCGTACTGGCTGCATTGCTTTGGTGGGAATGGTGCCTGTTTGAACTCCCCTTTTTTTCCAGAACGAGTATTTGAGATAAATTGACACTAGGCCCGCTTAACTAAAGCTCCCTTTATCTTAAAGATTCCAGCAGAAGACACTTCATCCAAAAAGTTGGCAGCAATAAAGTAGGTTCCTCTTCTCAATTTTGTGCTTCATTTTTCAAGGCAAAAATAGTTTTTAAGTCTGGGTTGCTATGTGTTTGGTTATATTTATTTTTAATTTTGTGTTTCTTTGACTTTTGCAATTATCTTTGTGTCTGTGTAAGTTTTCTTTACAACTGAAAAATCATTATCTGCCAGGTATACTAGTGTAAGTAATTTGTTATCTTAAGTTGCATTCCTTACATTTTAGGAAGGAGGAAGACGCTAATGGTCTTTAATTCCCATGGATGTATTTATAAGAGGAAGCTTGTCAGGGTGCATATAGAGGGTGTATAAGGTGTACAGTGAGACTCCCTTGGGCATAAGGGCCCTTTAAGAGACAGAGGAGTTGTTAACTGCGCGCAGCGAGGGAGGCATACATGTGTTGAACGAGAAGTGCTCGTGCACTGCACACCATCAGTGTTATTTAACAGCGTGCCTCTTTTTCATGTTCCAGGCATAAGTTGCACCCTAATGCGAAGTTCATTAATGCCTATGTTGTATTTAAGGAAGAATGTGATGCCATTAAGGCTCTCAACGAGTAAGTCTCCGTTTTTTCCCTCAGAAGAGGCCGATATAGAGTGTTAAACTATTTTTCTGGAATCATGACAGATCATTTTTCAAATTTAAAAATTAAATTTGGTTTTGGAATGTTACTGTGCAGTGGTATTGCAGATTAAGTAACACTTGTTTTGTTTTGAAAACATTTTGCTTTTGGCTACAAAAGAAATGGAACAGAAATTGCTAGTGGATTTCACATCAGGGTTGATATTGCAGCAAGAAACAGTTCGGTAAGTAAGATGTGTCACTAGAAAACCCCTTTTCTGGTTCTTTTGCTGTTGAGTTTTCTTTTCCGTAAGAAATGACTTACTGTCTTGTCTCTTGTTTTCTTTAGCATGACAATAAACGATCTGTATTCTTGGGAAATCTCTCCTATGGTAAGTCTAAAAGAAATTATTACACATCATGACCTAACATTGATGGAATGTGTTGTCATTAAGGATCTTTTATTTACTGATACCTCACAGAACGGTTTGGGTTGGAAGGGACCTTAAAGACCATCTAGTTCCACCCCCCCTGCCATGGGCAGGGACACCTTCCACTAGACCAGGTTGCTCAAAGCCTCATCCAGCCTGGCCTTGAACACTTCCAGGGATGGGGCATCCACAGCTTCTCTGGGCAACCTGTTCCAGTGCCTCACCACCCCCTCCGTGAAGAACTTCTTCTTGATATCTAATCTAAACCTCCCCACTTTCAATTTAAACCCATTCCCCCTTGTCCTGTCACTACCGGCCCTTGTAAAAAGTCCCCCCCAGCTTCCTTGTAGCCCCTTCAGGTACTGGTAGGCTGCAATAAGGTCTCCCCGGAGCCTTCTCTTCTCCAGGCTGAACAAGCCCAACTCCCTCAGCCTGTCCCCATAGCAGAGGTGCTCCAGCCCTCTGAGCATCTTCGTGGCCTCCTCTGGACTCGCTCCAACCAATTGATATCCTTATGTGGAGGGCTCCAGAGCCCTCAATTTAGTGTAGCATGTTGAGGTAGCTAAATATCTTCTGCTGGAAGTAATTTTTTTAATACCAGTTCTGTTTTTTAACTAAAACACCTAAAGGGGTTGTAGGTTTCTGGCAAGTTCTGCAGATTGTTTTCTGTATCATAGAAAACTGTGAGCACTTTAAGTTCTTGTTGTTACTTAAATGTTTTTAAATAAATACGACTAAACTGCATAGGCCGTGGATTTTTAAACTGTTAAACCTGTATTGGTGGCTGCTTGTGAACTACTTCCAAGTGATGCACAGTGATGGCTTCTCGTTTTGACGCTGTCTGCGACTGTGTCCAGGCAGCTGTTGGCTGTCGGCCGTTTCACCTCAGTGCTCCATGAATACTCTGCTGCTTCTGAAGGGCTCGCCATCAGGTGTGGTCCCTCTGAGGGTATTAATGGAGTCAGGATGCTTGGGTTGAGCATCTTTAAGGGTGGTGTGGACACAGAAACACAGGGGATGGAGGCACGCCCTGTGCCTATGGCCTGATGCAGAGCCAGTATCGCGTCCTGCAGATGGCATTGCTGGGACACACGGGCTTTAGACTTCAGCCCCAAACTTGACCTCTCTGAAAACCTGGATAGGTGGCAAATCTGATTGTGGTGATGTTACTTAGGCCTGTACGTGTAGAGCTCCTGTCACTACTGCACGTTCCTGTGTGCATCCTGCAGAAAAAAAGCAGTTGGGATGTTTGCAGTGGTCTGGGAAGGACTTCAGCAGCTTGAGCCTTTCTCAGCTCATCCAAGTCCCATGGCTGTAATTAAACCTGTACCATTCAATTCAGCCCCTCCCCTTGGCACATACAAGTTGATAGCCATGTAAAGGGATTTACTGTAGTATGAAGTGTACCTGTACAGAAAGGAGAACAACCTGTATTTTTGTGCCGATACGTGGAAGTTGTCTGCATGGGCATGAGAGTGAGAAAGCGTCATTCAGCCGGCTGTTACCAGGGTAATTGTCTAGTAATTGTGGTTGGAAACTAAATCCCTCTCCCCCATTCAGCTAAAATTCACAGCTCGGTCAATGAGCATGAGACTTCACAAACTGCCAGCTCAAGCTCATTATCATCAACATTAATTCTCAGAAAGAGATTCTGGTATAAGAAGGAGATCCAAAACTGTGGCATGAATCTTAACTTCCACTGCCTTCATGAAATTCTTTGAAAAATTCATTTGGTCTTTGCCTTTGTGCTTGTGATTTAACTTGTACCCTCCAAATCTAGAGAATCGGCAACTGCCAAAGAAAACTACTTAAAATAGTATTTACAATAGTGCATTTACAGTAGTAAATAAAGTCTGTGTTGTTGACTTGCTGGAATTTTTCTGAACCACTGGTGTTTGTGTACCTACATATCGATATATTTAAATATATATGCCTGTGTACTTGAATTGGCAAATATAAAACATTTGGATTCGGGCCAGGCTTCTAAAGCTGACTGAAGAGGCACCTGTGTCGTTGTTCTTGCCCGCAGATATCAGTGACGATGCTGTGCGAGAACACTTCTCTGTCTGCGGGGCCGTAGTAGCAGTGCGAGTTGTGAGAGACAGGCAGACTGGCTTGGGTAAAGGCTTCGGCTACGTTCTCTTCGAGGTATGTACGAGTGCCGTGTGTCAGGATGCTGGGAGTTCTTCAGAGTCTGAAATGGGATTTGCCTTTATGGCCTTTGAAATTATTGTTTTCTTTAGTAACCGTTTTGGATTTGTAGGTGACGTTAAGTGTTGTTAAACAAACATACGCTGTAGAGTATGTGATAAGCAGCTTGGAAGACCAGTTCTGCTGAAGCTGAGTACTTTAGGTTGTGGGCAGTGAGGAGTTGTAAAACGTTGGGGTGAAAGCAATGACCTTTAAGGGAAAGACTTAAAGGAGGGACAGTTTGCTTGGTACAACTGCGTTGCTCTCCCATGTCTTGCTGCGGAGCTCTCCCCAGCACCTGGCTTGCTTACTAGCGCTCCGTTTCGCGTTTAGTACAGCCTGCTTTCTCTTGGCAATCTCCCAGCCTCACCCTCCTTAGTTTGTCTCCTGCAGGCCAATACCCTTTTTTCCCCCCCAGTTTCTCCTTCACCTCTCTGCCTGTCTTTCACATCTCCTGTAAGCTCTTTTATGGCCATTTTCGCGTATCTGTGTGTGAGCTGCCTGGGTGTGGGGGCGTTTCTGAGCAGAGATGTTGTGTCGTTCAGCGAGTACAGCGTTTGGAGCGCTCTTTATTGTAAAATCTTGCTTAGAAAAATTAAAGGATGGCACCTGTTTCTTTAAAAGCCATCAGCTGGAAGCAAGGCTGCTTTTAACCTGAACGTCTGTTCTTGTAGAATACGGATGGTGTACATCTTGCTCTGAAACTCAACGGGAGCGTTCTGCTGGGAAGAAAGATACGGGTGAAGCGCTGTGGGGAGAAGTGGAAAGCACCGCAGAAAAGTCCAGCTAAGTCTCGTGCTCCTAAGGACAGAGTCAATAGCACGTTAAAAACCAAAACATGCTCGAATGATTCGTTTGTCGGTGAAAAAGCAGTCCTGTCGAAGAAGGGCACGAAGCCAAAAAGACTAAAAAGTGTTCCTAGAAAGAAATCTGGGAAAAACAAACAGTCTTCTGATAAAAATCAGATGTATAAAAATGTTGCTTATTGTCATAAAAAATGATGTATACAACAGTGTTTTGTCATCAATTTTGCTTGCTAATAGGGCTGTGGTCGTTCTTAGTATTCACTCTGAGGTTTTTGGCTTCTCCCAGAAGGCAGTACGAGGGCCGTGTCCGTGCTCCCGGTCCCAGTACGGGCGCTGTGTGCTTTTGTTACTGCGTTCCAGGAACGCATCTCCAGCTGCTGTCCTGCTCACCTGGATTCTCACCTGGATTGCATGAAATTTCTCAAAGTGACCCCGAAGAGGAGGCCCACATGTCGACTAAACCTGCGAAGATACGCAAAGCCTTTTAATGGTTAAGCTTCAGGTTACAGCACTCAGGGCGGTGGAAGGCCAAGGCTCAGGCAAGGCCTTTCTCGACCTTGCAGCCGGCGGGCGCTTCCCCGGGGGCGGTAGCCGTCGGCGGTGCCGTCCCTGCGGGCCTCCCCCGCCTTCTGGCGGAGCGTGGATGCGGCCCCCCGCAGCCCT